AGCGAAAAATAACCTGGTCATGAAGGGGGTAAAATCTCCCGGAGCTTATGTGGTTAAAAACAAACATTGTCAAGGAGATAAATGAAACTGCATGTAAAAAGCATGTAGAGCGCAAATCAAGCATATTATCCGTGTTTCTCATTCATTTTCATTATGAAGTGCAACGGCAGAGAACAGGAGCAAAACATGCTTAGAATTATTGTAAAAATTGGTTCAAATTTAATGTGTTGAGGATACCGGTTCACACTATAGAAACGCAGTCCAGATGCGTTCCGGATGTGTTTTTGCATGCGTGTTTTTGATGTGTTTTTGATGCATTTTGGTAGGTATTTTATGCATTCCAGTTTATATTTTCCCCTCTTTTTTTCTTCAATTTAAATAGAGACGTGCATTCCAGTGTGTTTTTGGTACAGTTCTGTGCAGAAAAAAAATGCAGCCTCATACAAAATTACGCCTAAGGACTTTTTCAAAAATCTAAGAATACGTCATGCATTACGCAACCTGGAATACCAGGAGGATTCTCTCCTCAGATCTTTGATCAACTTTTATGAAAGTACAGACTCTTATAAACACAAGGTATTTCATATTTAATATCCTTCTTCAACATCGTCACCAAGGAAAATGACCAACGATGCATAAATGGGAACGAGACAGATTGGGAAACAGCAGGAAACTGGAAACAATACCAGATTCAACAATGGCAAGCAGCAGGAAACTGGACTAGGAAAGCTACCAGATGCATTATTATTATTATTATTATTACATCGAGTTTATATAGCGCCAAAGGGTTTGCTCAGCGCTGTACAATAGAGGGGGGGGGGACAATACATGAAACAGTACAGCAACTACAAACAGCACACGAGGGGTTAGAGGGCCCTACTCTTTCGAGCTTACAATCTAGGAGGGAGGGGGTAGTGGTACAGGAGGAAGTGGCTGTGGGGGATGGAGTGGTAGGAGGAATGAAGGAGAACGGCTGTTAGGTGAGGGTGGGGTAGGCTTCCCTAAAGAGGTGGATTTTCAGGGAGCGCCTGAAGGTGAGAAGGGAAGGTGACAGTCTGATGGATTGGGGTAGTGAGTTTCCAGAGGATGGGGAGGACCTGTAGAAGTCTTGCAATCGTGAGTGGGAGGAGATGCATTAACCATTATTGGGAATCATCCCAAAAAATACTGCACAGATGGTACATAACTCCACAACATTTGGCAACACGATCATCCAACCGGTACTCTTCATTATGCTGGAGGAACTGTAACCAACAAGGATCCCTGTACCATATATGGTGGGAATGTCCACAAAAATTTCTCCATTCTGGTCAGATATCTTTACATTTATAACATCAATTACAGACTCCTCTCCAACTCCTGAACCAGCCCTGGCACTTTTGGGAATAGTAATAGACTCCTGACCATCACAGTCCAGAACTGTACTAATGCATACAGTGGGGCAAAAAAGTATTTAGTCAGCCACCAATTGTGCAAGTTCTCCCACTTAAAAATATGAGAGAGGCCTGTAATTGGCATCATAGGTAGACCTCAACTATGAGAGACAAAATGAGAAAAAAAATCCAGACAATCACATTGGCTGATTTGGAAAGAATTTATTTGCAAATTATGGTGGAAAATAATTATTTGGTCAATATCAAAAGTTCATGTCAATACTTTGTTATATATCCTTTGTTGGCAATGACAGAGGTCAAACGTTTCCTGTAAGTCTTCACAAGGCTGGCACACACTGTTGCTGGTATGTTGGCCCATCCTCCATGCAGATCTCCTCTAGAGCAGTGATGTTTTGGGGCTGTCACTGGGCAACACGGACTTTCAACTCCTTCCAAAGGTTTTCTATGGGGTTGAGATCTGGAGACTGGCTAGGCAACTCCAGGACCTTGAAATGCTTCTTACGAAGCCACTCCTTCGTTGCCCCGGGCGGTTTTTGGGATCATTGTCATGTTGGAAGACCCAGCCACGTTTCATCCTCAATGCCTTTGCTGATGGAAGGAGGTTTGCACTCAAAATCTCACGATACATGGCCCCATTCATTCTGTCCTGTACATGGATCAGTCGTCCTGGTCCCTTTGCGGAGAAAACAGCCCCAAAGCATGATGTTGCCACCCCCATGCTTCACAGTAGGTATGGTGTTCTTTTGCATGCAACTCAGCATTCTCTCCTCCTCCTCCAAACACGACGAGTTGTGTTTCTACCAAACAGTTCTATTTTGGTTTCATCTGACCATATGACATTCTCCCAATCCTCTTCTGGATCATCCAAATGCTCTCTAGCAAACTTCAGACGGACCTGGACATGTACTGGCTTAAGCTGGGGGACATGTCTGGCACTGCAGGATCCGAGTCCCTGGTGGCGTAGTGTGTTACTGATGGTAGCCTTTGTTACGTTGGTCCCAGCTCTCTGCAGGTCATTCAGTAGGTCCCCCTGTCTGGTCCTGGGATTTTCGCTCACCGTTCTTGTGATCATTTTGACCCCATGGGGTGAGATCTTGCGTGGAGCCCCAGATCGAGGGAGATTATCAGTGGACTTGTATGTCTTCCATTGTCTAATTATTGCTCCCACAGTTGATTTGTTCACACCAAGCTGCTTGCCTATTGCAGATTCAGTCTTCCCAGCCTGGTGCAGGACTACAATTTTGTTTCTGGTGTCCTTCAACAGCTCTTTGGTCTTCCCCATAGTGGAGTTGGAGTGTGACTGTTTGAGGTTGTGGACAGGTGTCTTTTATACTGATAACAAGTTCAAACAGGTGCCATTGATACAGGTAATGAGTGCAGGACAGAGGAGCCTCTTAAAGAAGAAGGTACAGGTCTGTGAGAGCCAGAAATCTTGCTTGTTTGTAGGTGACCAAATACTTATTTTCCACCATAATTTGCAAATAAATTCTTTCCAAATCAGCCAATGTGATTGTCTGGATTTGCTTTCTCATTTTGTCTCTCATAGTTGAGGTCTACCTATGATGCCAATTACAGGCCTCTCTCATCTTTTTAAGTGGGAGAACTTGCACAATTGGTGGCTGACTAAATACTTTTTTGCCCCACTGTATTTTGATAGCAGCACAATTAAGTATTGCCAGGCTTTGGAAATAATATACAACACCATCCATTCACACAGTAACTGAAATCCTGAACAAGCCTTTGAAAAACCTTTTGCTCAAATACACAACTCATCTGATAAATTCCAGAAACATTGGGACTTATGGCTCAAAGATCATCGATGTACCGTTACGTAAGAAGCTACAAGATGTACCAATCAAACACCACTAGAGATACAGCTATTGCACCATATTATTATTATCCTATTATCTTAAAAAAAAAAAAAAGTCATAATTTTAAATCTCATTCTTTATTCTACTTCTCTCTAATCTCCAAATCTCTACTTCTCACAACCTTCCTTTCTTCTCTAAACTAATGATTTATTGAATAACTCAAACAAACAATGCATACTCATCAAAAAAAAATGTATTGATGACAGCAATGACTACAACAAAATCACATTGTAAGCTGAATTTTGTAAGATGTTGAATATACTCATACTCTGTTATCTATAGATTTTACAAATGTGTAATACAATATTGCGACAATACTGTTTATTGTTGTAAACACACAAATGACCAACAAAAAAAAAACAGTAGTTATAAAAAAAAAAATGCAGCATGTTTGGCTATGAGCTACTTTTTTTCTGCATCCGGAACACACTGGAACTGCAAGCACTGATGTGAACTATGACACTGACAACCTATCACCTACTTTCTGCGCATCTTGGATGCAGAAAAAAAGCAACTGAAACGCATGGAGTGTGAACTGGCACTAAAAGAAAAAAAAAGTCTGTTGTTTCAACTACTTAAGTCTATGCTAGCTTCAAAAACAGGCATTTCATGAGCGGTTTGAAGTTTCACAAACGCTTGTCACAGAAACAATTGAGTACTGTCCGTGATACCTTTTTTATTTGCACTAACATACAATTTTGAGGACAAGCTTTCGGAGTATGTCCCCTTCTTCAAAGTCCAAACAGTACTATTACAAATCACAAAGTTTAAGCAGAATGTTAGATAAATTTGTGGGCATTGCAGCTCCCATTGTTGTGCACATGGTTGCGTCACATTGCGTCATGTCAAAATTGACACACGTCGTTTGCCTGGCTTTACTGCTCCCCAAATGCTTCCATTGATGTCAATGTGAACAGGCTGAGAAAGCGCTGCTAACACGACACAAATGCCCTAGTGCACGGGTGTCAAAACTCCATTTCACCATGGGCCGCATCAGTGTTATGGTTGCCCTCAAAGGGCTGGTTGTATATGTAAGACTAGGTGTCAAGAGCACTCCACCCCCCCATTACACCATTCTTCCAGAAGCACATTTGTGAGGTCAGGCACTGATGTCGGGGGAGGAGGCCTGGCTCGCAGTCTCCGCTCTAATTCATCCCAAAGGTGTTCTATGGGGTTGAGGTCAGGACTCCGTGCAAGCCAGTCAAGTTCCTCCACCCCTAACTCACTCCTCCATGTCTTTATGGACCTTGCTTTGTGCACTGGAGTGCAGTCATGTTGGAAGGGGCCATCCCCAAACTGTTCCCACAAAGTTGGGAGCATGAAATTGTCCAAAATGTCTTGGTATGCTGACGCCTTAAGAGTTCCCTTCACTGGAATTAGGGGGCCAAGCCCAACCCCTGAGGAACAACCCCACACCATAATCCCCCTCCACCAAACTTTACACTTGGCACAATGCAGTCAGGCAAGTACCGTTCTCATGGCAACCACCAAACCCAGACATGTCCATCAGATTGCCAGACAGAGAAGCATGATTGGTCATTCCAGAGAACAAGTCTCCATTGCTCTAGAGTCCAGTGGCGGCGTGCTTTACACCACTGCATCTGACACTTTGGTGATGTAAGGCTTGGATGCAGCTGCTCGGCCATGGAAACCCATTCCATGAAGCTCTCTACGCTCTGTTGTTCTGCTCATCTGAAGGCCCCACCGAGTTTGGAGGTCTTTAGCTATTGACTCTGCAGACAGTTGGCGACTTCTGCGCACTGTGTGCTTCAGCATGCGCTGACCCCGCTCTGTCATGTGACCTACCACTTGGTGCCTGAGTTGCTGTTGTTCCCAGTTGCTTCCACTTTGTTATAATCCCACTAACAGTTGAGCGTGGAATATTTAGTAGCCAGGAAATGTCACGGATGGACTTATTGCACAGGTGACAACCTATCACGGGACCACGCTTGGAGTCACTGAGCTCCTGAGAGCGACCCATTCTTTCACCAATGTTTGTAGAAGCAGTCTGCATGCCTAGGTGATGATTGTATACACCTGTGGCCATGGAGGTGATTGGAAAACCTGAACAGGGGCAAACCGACAACTCATGGGGCCCCCCGGGCAATAGGGGATCATGGGGCCCCTGTGTCCTTGCCCAAACTCAAAAAAGCCTATGAAAAAGGTACCAGGGGCATCTCATGGGGCCCCCTACTGACCCCGGGCCGTCAGGCAGCGCCCGAGTTTCCAAATGGTCAGTCTGCCCCTGCACCTGAATCCAATGATTTGGAGGGCTGGCCCAATACTTTTGGCAATATAGTGTATGCCCAGGGGCGGACTGACCATTTGGAAACTCGGGCACTGCCCGAGGGCCCGGGGTCAGTAGGGGGCCCCATGAGATGCCCCTGGTACCTTTTTAATAGGCTTTTTGGAGTTTGGGCAAGGACACAGGGGCCCCATGACGCTCTATTGCCCAGGGGCCCCATGAGTTGTCAGTCCACCCCTGTGTATGTCAGAGGATTTATTTAATCTCTGTGTGTCACCTGAGGCCAGTCACATCACTGGTATATGGAAGAGTTTACAATGACTTTCCCCTTCCTCTGGATCAACTGTGGGTGTAGGATTATAACTTTTTTTTTTTATGGTTGAACTGGATGGACTTTTGTCTTTTTTCAGCCAGACTAACTATGTAACTATATAAGTAGAGTGTTGGAGTCTTCCCCCTTTTACTTTGCTCTTTCTTCTGTTTGGTATATACAGTATCTCTTTTTAGAAATCCATGCCCATGCATTACTCTCCAGCACTTGGCCTCCTCAGTCATCGAATTCCCCGGCCGCTCTGTGTATATCACCGAGCGCTCAGCGCCGTCCAAAACTCAATAGCCTTTTTTTTTTTTTTTTTTACATCCGATACTCCTAGAGAACGTGCCAGTGCATCCAAACGGCTCCTTGATGAGACGGCTCACTCTTTGCCAGATGTGATGTGCTTCCCTGCGGCAGTCCTTAACCCCCTCACCGCCCGCTGCTGGGACTTGTCCTCCTACAAGATACATTGAGATGCAATTAGAAAGCCTTCAAGCTGCTTTGGGAGGGATTTCACACAGCTGGTGGGGTGATAATTGAGCAGTGACTGTGAAATCTAGGAGAAGCAAAGACTGCGGACCATCAAAGGGACACAAATAAAAAAAGAACAGACTTGGAATCATTGCTCATTTAGTTATAGCTGATGTTTAATCTGCTTATATTTTCCCTTCCTGGTTCCCCTTCCCCTACACTCATCAACATACTAATAAAAAATGTAAATAAAAAATGTTTCCATTTTTATTACATACCTCATTTTAGTCCCAGCAATGTCACCACTTGGTCTCTGTGCTCTTCTATGCAATGCAGGGAGATCAAGGCTGGTGGGAGGGACCAGCAGGGTGATGTACATAGCATCCTGAAAACATCAGAGCACCTTGCCTTAGTACTCCGCTCAAGATGTCTCAGCCCTGATGCAAGCAGTGGGAGGGGTTTTTTCAAATACTAAAATGCCTTGATGGGAGGGGGTCAGACTGGGGGAGTGAGCATTCCTAGGCAATCTGCATTTTATTTGATGATGAGCCCCTGTGAATAAAAAGATGGACCAACGACAGCCAGGATGTGAAGGAAAGGGCTAGGTTAGGGGTCTCCAAACTTTCTAAACAAAGGGCAGTTTGTGCGGCCCTTCAGATTTTGGGGGGGGGGGGGGGGCTGGACTGTGGCCATTGGGAATAGAAAAGGTCCCAACGTCAGTGGGAATAAACCATGCCCCTTCTTTGGTGTCCCATCATTGGAGTCCTTGGGAGGAATTGTGCCCCATCAATGATGTCTTGGGGATCCTTCTTTGGTGTCAGTGGGAGGAATGGCGTCCCATCAGTGGAGTCCTTGGGAGGAATTGTGCCCCATCAGTGGAGTCCTTAGGAGGAATTGTGCCCCATCAGTGGAGTCCTTAGGAGGAATTGTGCTCCATCAATGATGTCATGGGGGCACCCTTCTTTGGTGTCAGTGGGAGGAATGGCGTCCCATCAGTGGAGTCCTTGGGAGGAATTGTGCCCCATCAGTGGAGTCCTTAGGAGGAATTGTGCTCCATCAATGATGTCATGGGGACCCTTCTTTGGTGTCAGTGGGAGGAATGGCGTCCCATCATTGGAGTCCTTGGGAGGAATTGTGCCCCATCAATGATGTCATGGGGACCCTTCTTTGGTGCCAGTGGGAGGAATGGCATCCCATCAGGAAAGACCTTGGGAGGGAATTGTGCCCCATCAGTGGAGTCCTTGGGAGGAATTGTGCCCCATCAATGATGTCATGGGGACCCTTCTTTGGTGTCAGTGGTGTGAATGGCGTCCCATCAGTGGAGTCCTTGGAAGGAATTGTGCCCCATCAATGATGCCATGGGGACCCTTCTTTGGTGTCAGTGGGAGGAATGGCGTCCGATCAGTAGAGTCCTTGGGAGGAATTGTGCCCCATCAGTGGAGTCCTTGGGAGGAATTGTGCCCCATCAATGATGTCATGGGGACCCTTCTTTGGTGTCAGTGGTGTGAATGGCATCCCATCAGTGGAGTCCATGGGAGGAATTGTGCCCCATCAATGATGTCATGGGGACCCTTCTTTGGTGTCAGTGGGAGGAATGGCGTCCCATCAGTAGAGTCCTTGGGAGGAATTGTACCCCATCAGTGGAGTCCTTGGGGGAAATTGTGCCCCATCAATGATGTCATGGGGACCCTTCTTTGGTGTCAGTGGTGTGAATGGCGTCCCATCAGTGGAGTCCTTGGGAGTAATTGTGCCCCCATCAATGTCTTGGGGACCCTTCTTTGGTGTCAGTGGGAGGAATGGCGTCCCATCAGTGGAGTTCTTGGGAGGAATTGTGCCCCATCAGTGGAGTCCTTGGGAGGAATTGTGCCCCATCAATGATGTCATGGGAACCCTTCTTTGGTGTCAGTGGGGTGAAAGGCGTCCCATCAGTGGAGTCCTTGGGAGGAATTGTACCCCATCAATGATGTAATGGGGACCCTTCTTTGGTGTCAGTGGGGTGAATGGCGTCCCATCATTGGAGTCCTTGGGAGGAATTGTGCCTTATCAATGATGTCATGGGGACCCTTCTTTGGTGTCATTAGTAGGAATTGTGTCCCATTGCTGGTGTCATTAGGAGGAATTGTTGCCCCATAATAGTTTTCAGTGGATGAAATAATGCCCCAAGAACTGGATAAAAGCAAGCAAAAGGCCGCATCTGGCAGCCGGGCCGCAGTATGGAGAATGGGCTAGATGATGCTGGACGTCCTCACGTCAGGAAATGAGGCGGGCTCCATTTGACTTTCAGCTTCTAATGCACACTGTGAAAAATGACACAATGCAGCTTACAAGAGGTCAGCTCTTACTGCTATCAGCATGGCCCATGACTATACTACCCAAGAGCCCATTCCCTGCAGGCAAGCTCCTGGGAGTCCTGGCATCAGCATTGTTTTTCTGAAAAAGAAATCAATGTATGTATGTGGAGAGGGACAGAGAGGGGTGTGGGTGACAACACTTCTTAACATTTCAGTGCACTAACGGCACTGTGTTGTCAGCTCAAACAGGGAAGTTAGGAGCTCACTGGATTTTCTGGCAGATCATCAGATATTTCTGCTGTCCTTGCAGCATTTGAAAAGAACCAAACATGGAAACATGCCTGTATTGCGGAGATCTACTGATGGTTTTTATTGTATTTTATTTTTGCTTTGCTATATATACATTTTACTCACTTTGAGTCCTCGGCACCTTTTAAAAAAAAAAAAGACACCGGGATCAGGGGTGGACTGACAACTCATGGGGCCCCCGGGCAATAGGGGATCATTGGGGCCCCTGTGTCCTTGCCCAAAAACTCAAAAAAGCCTATGAAAAAAAGGTACCAGGGGCATCTCATGGGGCCCCCTACTGACCCCGGGCCCTCGGGCAGTGCCCGAGTTTCCAAATGGTCAGTCCGCCCCTGCGCAGAAGCAGGGAGGAATGGCTCTAAGGATAATTGGCTGATTCACATGAAGGTGCAGAAGTCTGCCGTACCATTGAACGCAATCCCCATAGGAGGACTGCTGAAGCGTACACTCATGTTCAATGAATAGTTCGGGGGTCCTAGTGTTTCAGTGCGTATTCAGACTCTAAGATTCGCCAAACAAAGAAGCAGATCCAAAAAAAAAAAAATGTGTTGCTAAACCCACAACAGTAAAATCAGTCTGTATATGCAGTAAAGCATGCTTGTTATACTCACTGTGGAACCTAAGGGGTTAATCCTCTGCATTGTATGAAAATGATGTTTAATCCTGTTTTCTCTGATCCTCACCCTTATTCTACTGTCCCCAATCCATCTGCTGATAGACACATAGCCTTGGGTGCGAGCTGCACATGCTCAGTTTGGTGTGTATTGCTAGAGAGTTTTTTTTTTCTTTCTTTAGGAGGGTGTATGTGATCAGCACAGGGCCATCAGCGCTGTCCAGACAAAGGGTCACGGGTTCTGCAGCCTCATAGGACAGTCAAAGCAGAATGAAAAACTGCTCCTACGAACTTTAACCAGTGCTCTGCTGGACCACTGAATAGAAGTCACAAGCCCTGCTCTAACTACTGATGAGAAAAGGTATTTAGCATTTATATTTACTAAAATAATTGCATTTCCATGTTCTGTGTTCTGTGTTGAGAGACCAGGTATAGTGAATGCAGGGTCCGGGGGGAGACCAGGTATAGTGAATGCAGGGTCCGGGAGGAGAACAGATATAGTGAATGCAGGGTCCGGGGAGACCAAATATAGTGAATGCAGGGTCCGGAAGAAAACCGGATATAGTGAATGCAGGGTCCGGGGGAGACCAAATATAGTGAATGCAGGGTCCGGGAAAAACGGATATAGTGAGATGCGGGTTCCAGGGAGACCGGATATAGTGAATGCAGGGTCCTGGGAGACCAGATATAGTGAATGCAGGGTCTCCGGGGAGACCAGATATAGTGAATGCAGGGTCGGGGAGACTAGATATAGTGGAATGCGGGTTCCAGGGAGACAGGATATAGTGAATGCAGGGTCCTCTGGCAGACCAGATATAGTGAATGCAAGGTCCTGGGAGACCAGATATAGTGAATGCAGGGTCCAGGGAGACCCAGATATAGTGAATGTTAGGGTCCGGGGAGACCAGATATTAGTGAATGCAGGGTCCGGGGAGATCAGATATAGTGAATGCAGGGTCGGGGAGACCAGATATAGTGAATACAGGGTACGGGGAGACCGGATATAGTGAATGCAGGCTCACGGGGGTGAGACCAGATATAGTAGATTCAGGGTCCGGGGAGACCAGATATAGTGAATGCAGGCTCCGGGGAGACCAGATATAGTGAATGCAGGCTCCGGGGAGACCAGATATAGTGAATGCAGGGTTTCGGGGAGATCAGACATAGTGAATGCAGGGTCTGGGGAGACCAGATATAGTGAATGCAGGGTCCTGGGAGACCGGATATATTGAATGCAGGGGTCCGGGGAGACCAGATATAGTGAATGCAGAGTCCGGGGAGACCAGATATAGTGAATGCAGGGTCCTGGAGGACCGGAATAGTGAAATGCAGGTCCTGGGAGACCGGATATTAGTGAATGCGGGTTCCAGGAGACCGATAATAGTGGAATGCAGGGTCCTGGGAGACCAGATATAGTGAATGCAGGGTCCTGGGAGGACCGATATAGTGAATGCAGGGTCCTGGAGACCGGATATCAGTGAATGCAGGATCCTAGAAGACGGATATAGTGAATGCAGGGTCTCTGGGGAAGTCCAGATATAGTGAATACAGGGTTCTGGGAGACCAGATATAGTGAATTGCAGGGTCCGGGAGACCGAAAATAGTGAATGCAGGGTCCGGGGAGACCGGATATAGTTGAATGCAGGTCTGGGGAGAACCAGATCTAAGTAAATGGCAGGTCTGGGGAGAGACAAGATCTAGTGAATGCAGGGTGCTGGGGAGACCAGATTAATAGTGAATGCCGGGTCGGGGAGACCTGATATGAGTGAATGCAGGGTCTGGGGAGACCAGATTATAGTAAATGCAGGGTCTGGGGAGACCGATCTAGTGAATGCAGGGTCTGGGGAGACCACATATAAGTGAATGCGGGGTGGCGGAGAGACAGATATAGTGAATGATCGCGGGGTCCAGGAGACCGGATATAGTTAATGCAGGGTCAGGGGAGACCGGATTAATAGTGAATACAGGGTCTGGGGAGAGCAGATATTAGTGAATGCAGGGTCTGGGGAGACCAGATATAATGAATGCAGGGTCCTGGGAGACCAGATATAGTGAATGCAGGGTCCTGGGAGACCAGATATAGTGAATGCAGGCTCCGGGGAGATCAGATATAGTGAATGCAGGGTCCGTGGAGACCAGATATAGTGAACGCAGGGTCGGGGGAGACCAGATAAAGTGGATTCAGGAGTCCTGGGGAGACCAGAGATATATTGAATGCAGGCTCCGAGGAGACCAGATATAGTGAAATGCAGGGTCCGGGGAGATCATATATAGTGAATGCGGGGGTCTGGGGAGACCAGATATAGTGAATGCAGGGTCTGGGGAGACCAGAATCTAGTGAATGCAGGGTCTGGGGAGACCACATATAGTGAATGCAGGGTCTGGGGAGACCAGATATAGTAAATGCAGGGTCTGGAGGGAGAGACCAGATCTAGTGAATGCAGGGTCTGGGGAGACCACATAATAGTGAATGCAGGGTCCAGGGAGACCAGATATAGTGAATGCGGGGTCTGGGGAGACCAGATATAGTGAATACAGGGGTCTGGGGAGACCGATATAGTGAATGCAGGGTCCGGGGAGACCGGATATAGTGAATGCAGGGTCCGGGGGAGACCGGGATATAGTGAATGCAGGGTCTGGGGAGACCAGATCTAGTAAATGCAGGGTCTGGCGGAGACAAGATCTAGTGAATGCAGGGTCTGGGGAGACCAGATAAATAGTGAATGCAGGGTCCGGGGAGACCAGATATAGTGAATGCAGGTGGTTGGGGGAGAGACCAGATATAGTAAATGCAGGGTCTGGGGAGACCAGATCTAGTGAATGCAGGGCTTCTGGGGAGGACCCACAAATAGTGGCGGGGTCTGGGAGAGACCCACATATAAGTGAATGCGGGTCCCAGGGGAGGACCCGAGTATAGTTAACATTGCAGGGGTCGGGGAGACCGGATATAGTGAATAACAGGGTCTGGGGGAGAGGACATATAGGGCGTGGTCTGGGATTGAAGACCAGACTTATAGTGAATGCAGGGTCCTGGGATACCAGAAATAGTGTGATACGGACCCTGGATATAGTTAGTGGAATGCAGGCTCCGAGGGAGAGACCGGGATAAAAGTGAATATATGGACGCAGGGTCTGGGAGAGCAGATATAGTGAGAATGCAGGGTCTGGTCGGAGACCAGATATAATGGGAAGCTGGCTCCGGGGAAGACCAGAAATATGAATATCATGGTCCGGTGGAATCAAGATATAGTGAATGCTGGTTCTGGGGAGACCAGATATAATCTAGCTGCAGGGTCTGTTGAGACCAGAATCTAGTGAATGCAGGTTCCTTGTGGAGACCACATATAGTGAAAATGCAAGGATCTGGGGAGTCAAGATATAGTAAAATGCAGTCTGGGGAGACCAGATCTAAGTGGAATGCATGCGTCCAGGGAGACCAGATATAGTTGAATGCAGGGTCCTGGAGGAGACCACATATAGTGAATGGCAGGGTCTGGGGAGACCAGATAAAGAGGAATGCACGGGTCTGGGGAGACCACATATCGTCGAATGCAGGGTCCAGGGAGACCAATTAGTGAATGCGGGGTCTGGGGAGAAGATTATGAATGCGGGCCAGGGGGAACGGATATGTTAAAGCAGGGTCGGGGGGAAATGGATATAGTGAATACAGGGGTTGGGGGGACCGATATAGTGAATGCGGGGCCCGGGGGGGGACAGATATAGTGGATGCGGGGCCGGGGAGACAGATATAGTGGGCAGGGTCCGGGGAGACCAGAATAGTGAAAGCGGGTCCGGGGGGGACCAGATTAGTGAATGCAGGGGTCCAGGGGACCAGATATAGTGAATGCATGGTCCGGGGCCCCTTATAGTGAAAACGGGTCCAGGGGACCGGATATATGAAGCAGGGTCCCGGGAGACCGGATATAGTGAATGCAGGGTCTGGGTTTGTAACACTTTATGTTATTTAACCCTCAACCCAAAACAATTGAAAATTAAAAAAAGGAAATATTTTTTTTTTATAAAATGTGTTCCTAATAATCCCCTATTTTTAGTTTACCCTAATGCGGCCATACTTT